AAAGACTTCGAAAGCTTGGGGCCCAGCCGCTGGACTTGGGACCAGCGCGGCTCGGTGATGTGCGTCTGGCGGGCTCACCCATCTGTGTTGTAAATAGGTTAGTAGTGCACTTGGCATGTGTGCTGAGGATGTAGGGTCTCCTTCTGTAGCAACCTCTGATTCTCCTGGTGCAGAGCCATTTAGTTAGTCTATCTCTTTGCAGCGATAGAAGCCTGCCTGCATAACCTTTCCCACCGACCAAAAACACTCCCAGCAGAAGAATGTGTCCCCATCTCAACCTGGCGTACTGACTCTCGGGACCTGGGACATCTCGTCGATCATAGTCCTGCAGCAGAGGCGAGGGTTTGGTGCGTATGCATTGGGTAGAGGAAACGGTGCAACGGATGCGATGATGCAATACAACCCCCGTGTATGCTCGCTGAGCTGCAGTGCGGTCTTGGTCACGGTCACTGGGGGCCGAAGATCGGCTTCCCCTGGGGGACCGGAAAGAGTGAGACCGAACAATGGCCTGCATGACGACGTCAGCAGCCGGTGGCCCCTCTGAGCCAAAAACTTCTTCTCCCGATGCCAGGATCCTGACGGCCTTTATACAATGCGGGGCCAGCTTGCCATCGGCACCCCGGGTTAAGTAGTAGCCGTTCATTGAACGGAACCAAAGGGCCCCCGATTCTTTCGGGGAGAGAATGATTGCGATGTCACAATGCGCGGGGTAATTCCGATATTCACTTCTGTCTACGGAAACGCAATGAATGTGTGTCCGGGACTGGGAGAGGCCTCCCGTGATGATGCCCTTCGCCAAGATCGAGCCATAGAAGTCCCAGTTGGTTGCATGGAGGACGTACTCCGGCAACTCGGCATCCCCAAGGGGCCGCATGACCGCTTCATCACGTAGTCCTTTCTTGGAGTGACCTTGAACCGCCCTGATGTAGAGATCGGCACCGCGCCATTCGAGCGCGAAGCGTTGCTTGTCGTTCCAGTAGACCACCGAGCGGATGTAGTTGGGGGTTGCCCCCTTCTCCTTCATGATGGAGGTGCGTAAAAGGTCTGACACCTTGGTCCACCCGGCCTCGTCGAACGTCAAGCCGAAGTCTTCAGAGTCGTGTCTCAGAACAACTGACAGTCTTTTGGAGAGAGACTGGTCCAGTTTCCAGTAGAGCTTCGTCGGCTCCCCAAGGGGGGCCGAATCGCGTGCTGGCGTGGGCAGAGAGGTGCCATCGCTGCTGGCGTAGGTCGTCTCCGTGTAGATGTTGTATCTCTCGACCCTGCGCGGGGAGTGGGGGATGCTGCCAGATTGATTTGGTGGCGTTTGCCCCGTAGGGTAGTCAACCTCCATCTCCACATAGGCATCAGATGAAGCCAGCTCGGCAGTCCGGGTTGCAGGAGCCGTGTATCCCATGTGCTTGGAGGTCCTGTCCGGCATGTCATCATCTCTGCTGTCCTGGCTGGTTTGGTCCTGAATTGCCACTCGGACAATTTGCTCATCATCCTGCAGTTGCTCGGTGGGGAAGTAGTAGTCGAATTTGATTGCCAGGTCTTGATGACTATCGAACCAATGGATTTGTTCATGCAGCGACATGGGGACTCCCTCAAACAGTGCGATTACGCTGTGCAGCATGCCGGCGAACTGGGTGAGGATGGGCTCGAAGTCCGCATCTTTGGACAGGCTCCATAACCAGCATTCCACTGCCGTGCCGAAGGTGGAGTGGTTCGCGTAGTTGAGCTTGTCTCTGGAAATCAGGCACATGACAAACGCAAGGTTCCAGTTGCCTGCGGCCGGGATGATCTTCAGGGACTCCGAGTGGTGGAAGTCTTCATGATGCTTGACGAAGTGCCCCATTTCGAAGAAATTTTTGAACATGAGGGCGACCTTCTTCTTGCGCAGGACATTGATGTCATCTTCGATGATGGCCAGCAGGTTCCATTTCTCACGCACGGCTCTCAAGGATTGTGGAGGCACACTGTCTCGGGCAGGGGGGACGAACTGCTTGAGGCCCTCGGAGACATGCTGGGCAGGGGCCGGAGGAACGGCACCCTCTGTGGTAGGCCTCCTTTGCTCGCTCGAGCTGCTAGCCTGCTGCCTCTTCTTTGGCGATGCCGGTGGGTCAGGTGGTTTCTGCCGGAACCACCATTCTCCCTGCCACCAGATCTTGAGGTAGCCCTCGTCGTCTTCCGCCGCATGTACTTCGTGCCGGTCACTGGTGTCAAACTGGTAGTCTTCACCGTCTTCGTCCTCCTCGTCGTAGTACCAGTCCTGATGTTGATCCCGGGGCCGAGCGTCGGCTCCCCTCGCATTCTGCCAGTGTGGCTGTCGGCTCTCGCGATCGGCCGCTTGTCGCCAGGGCTGCTGATTCATCTCCTGAGCACGGGGGGCCGCAGTGTCGGCTCTCTCCCTTTGATTGCCAGGGGCATTGCGGCGAGCACTGCGGGCAGCCAGTTCATTGCGGGTGCGCCTCCTAGTGCCGTCGGGCCTGACCCGAGCTCGGGGATATCGATGCCACTTTTGATCTGACATGCTATCGGCAAAGACAACACACATGTATATGCTTATGCAATCAGGCGTGGCGTGCATCATGTTCCTGCGGCCCGACAACCACTCTACAACACGGATCTCCATTCTCGCACTTAGAAACCCCGAGGTCCTCCCACAGGTGCTTTGTGTGGGGCCGAATACGGCACCCGCAGCTCTTCGGCTTGAAGTGACCTGGGCATATGGTCCGGGTTTGGGGCAGGTATGACATCTGCGAGTGTCAGGCAATGGGAGTACAGTCGGGTGCAGGGCCATGCATCCTGCTACACCGAGTTTCCCACTTCGGGTACACTGCGCCTGGGATGCGAGCATGTTAAGGATTTGACTGGGTATCAGGGCTGGCGTTCCGTGCCGAACATAGCTAACTACGACAGGGCACATATTCCACATATGTCTGCGGTGAGGCCCTCGAAGAGCTAAGGAAGGCCTTCGGTAGATGCCTCTAACAAGCATCAGTTTCGGCCTGCATGGTCTCACACTTAGCGAGAAGTTCTGCAGCCTTCTTTCGCCTCTTCCTAGGAGGTAGGCTTCGAATGTCTCCGAGAAGTCTGGTGATAAGGCCCGCGCATGAACCTGTGGAAATTGCGTAAGCCACAGCATTGCTCGATATGCCCACCTTGCGACCCTTAGGTTGTGGTGGCGGCTCTGAGTCCGTCGAGAGTGAGTCATCGGTGCCCGGTCCTTGTGCAGGGCTGGAGGATTGACCTGGGCCATCGGCTTCCCCAGGGCTGGGGCCGAATGTGGGACTGTCGGTCCTGTCCTCTGGGAGCATGTTTGTCTCATGTGCGGAGCTCTCTGATTCGCTCCAGTCCAGGAGCCCTTGCGCACTCCTCGGCACTCCATGGATTCTGTCACGAACTAGCGAGCGGTGGTGATGAGAGCTGCAATGGGGGGGGCAAAGATGGAAGCTTCGGTTGATTTGGGGGGGGGGTTGGGGCTTGGGGTCCTCTCTTATTTCGTGCGCTGGCTTTGGAGCTGGCTCCCCTAGGGGCCGTTGACTGAACGTAGTGGGATCTGGCCGACCAGTGCGCCTCATGGCACTGTCGTAGGCGGGGATGCATCTGCGGCAAAGGAAGACTGTGAATATCAAGTGCAGAGCGAGATTCATGGTTTGACTGAGATCAGGCTGATAAGAGACGTTGCAAGTTGTTGCTCAAGTGCTGCACACAACAACGGGAACCTGACAGAAATGATGGCCACCAGCTGAAGTCCCTGTTCTCTCGGTAGAACCTCAAGGATCGCTGGCACAAGTTCGTCTGCAGTATCCTGATTCCACAGCTGCCCTGCGAGGTCCAAGGCACTTTCAATGTCAATAGTGTCTTGACAGCTCAGCAAGCAGTCTGCAACCAGTTCCAGAGCCACAACTCGAATCTGAGTAACAGGCAGAATGGCTTCTAATGGTGTGAAGAGTACAGAAATCACCGAAGGGGCACTACGGTCCGCTATTGGGGGCCCGCTATACGAAACGCTGAGAGCCGAGACGCTTACGATGGGTTTCAAAAAGACTCATATGCTGGGGGTCATATGCTTTGAAACAAGCTTGCACGGGCCTTAAGCGGGGGGGGGGCCTTCCTTCTTTTCTTCCTTCCTTCCTTCCTTCCTTGCTTCCTTTCTTGCTTCCTCCCTTGCTTCCTTGCTTCCTTGCTCCAAGTCCCCCGTTTTAAAGCCGCACACACACACACAAGCTTGCTTCAAAGTATATGCTCTGTTTGCAAATGGGGGGGGGGGGGCTGCGCCCCCCCACCCCCGCTTCTCCCCCCTCCTCCCCCCTTTGACCACACAAGCTTTGCTTCAAAGTATGTGAGTTTTGAAACCCTTCATACAAGCACTCTCTTTGCAAATGGGAGGGTCTGCGCCCACCCCCCCCCACCCCCCCCCCCCCCGTTCTGAAGCCTCACAAGCTTGCTTCAAATTATGTGAGTTGTTGAAACCCTCATACAAGCACTCTGTTTGCAAATATGGGCGGGCGGGGGTGCTCCCCCCCAACCCCCCGCCGCTTCTCCCCCCTCCCCCAAGCTTGCTTCCAAGTATGTCAGTTTTGCAAACCCATAATACAAGCACATGGGGGGGGCTGCGCCCCCCCCCCCCCAAACCCCCCCGCTTTTTAAGGCCTGTGCTAAGCGTTAATGAAGACCCTTTAGTTTCTTAATCATATAGGATTCTTTGGCGGGTGGGTCCCTGAGTTTAAGTGTACGCTCTGCACGCTCGACAGGGCCACGCGGAAGACCGAAAAGTCGTCGTTCGCGCGCAGCGCCTAGGCGAGAGCGACAGGGCCACGCGGAAGCATCGAGGGGGTCGTCGTTCACGAATTGGAATGCATACGGGGCCTACGCCAGAAGCCCAAACCGAAAACACAAAAAAGTCCCCGAAAAAAACACAAGAATCATTATTTAATTCCGCGCCCTTTGAACCTAGCGGAGGCCGCCGGAGTTGTGCTAGAATTCGTCGCAGTCATGACCTCCCAACAGTGGAGGTGTGAGATGGCATCCATCGATGAAGCGTACATAGATTTGACCGACGAGGTACTTTGACCGCCCGGCACTTCCAGTGCCTTATGAGCAGCTTGCTGAAGTGTGAGCTTGGCAACATGTCCAACGGCGTCCCAGCAATCATTTCAGAACATTGTCAGGCGACCCAGCTCCTGGGAGGATCGACGGACCTTTCATCCATTGCTGCGACATCAGCCGCTGCCTCCGTGAAGTCTCTGGAATCAGGCATCAGGTGATTGGCCTTGCTACGATGGGTTCAACGCTGATGTTTTGAGGCTTGCCCCAGCGGGACTTCCCTGGACCTTGCTGCAGCTACAAGCTTAGGAAGTCGGATATGTTGTCGGGCACCAACCTCTGACGGAATGAACAAGGACTCCCATCTCCTGGCAGCAGCGCATTTGGTACAGCAGCTTCGAGACGAAATCTTCAAAGAGACAGGTACGTCTGCTTTCTCCTTGTTGATGCAGTTTTATACAGTAGCTGTAGCAGGTCGGCTTTAAACATTTCAAGCAGAGTGACAAGTGCAATTTGCCACACATACCCGGAGGTTTCACCGCGGGGATCTCAGAGTGAGAGGGGTTTGGGGTTTCGAGTCACGAAGTCCTGCAGCGCACCTGCAAACAGTGACTCTGACTCGGAATGACTGTGAGAATCTGTGATCCCGAAGCACTCTCAGGTCTCTGCCGGAATAGCAGAGACCAAGCTTGTGGCTAAGCTGGGGTCAGCATGTCAGAACCTTGGTGGCAAGCCGCAGCTTTGATAATTCAGTTGTCCCATTGTTCCATCGAGAGTTCCTCTTGCAAGGTCACAAGCCCAACCGCCAGACCATCGTTCCCAACTCAGGCTGGGGAGCTGCGGGGCAGGTCAACCAAAGACTTGCTCACCCAGACACCCAGAGCTTCAGGCATGTGAAGCACTGAAGCTCCTTGTCAGGTGTTCTGTCCTTCATGGCCTCTGTACAGATCAAAGACCTGCACTGGGCTTGGAGGGGAAGACATAGGCAGCACATCCAGTTCTGATTCTGTTTGCTCGAGGCCTGTGAAAGTAATCGGCGACAATCGTGTCAGGGGTTCAAGGGCTGAGCAGCAGTCAGCCACCATGATGTTCGCTCAACTTCAACAGCCAGACACACGCAGAGAGCTACAACAAGAAGTGGTTTGACACGTAGCCGCCCAGCGCCAGTTCGTAGGATTGCCAGGGAAGAAGTAGTTTCACGATACGAGATTGAGCAAGCAGGCATGCTAAATAGAGAGTCGACTTGAATGCTGCCTTGAGCTATGTACCTGCCATGTTCGGGATTGCGACAAGCAGGCTGGACGAGCTGGCCCTGAAACAGGTGCGGGATCTCACAAAGCTGCCGGCAAAGCATGGCTGCTCAGCGTTGTGATGCTTCTGTATGGGAATCTCAGGATGTTTACGACGCAATCACACACAATCCTTAACTCCGTCCTACGCGAGCTGAGGACTTCACCCAGCGCCTCGTGACTTCTACAGACAGGATGATGCTCTGCAGGCCTTGCAGAAGCCCCCTGGCAGCCAGCAAACGCAGGAAACTCCATGAAAGCCCACGAAAGCCTACGAAGCTCCCGAGCTTGATAACTGTGGAATGTCGGCTCAAGGCTCGTCGACGATGGTGACTACGAGCGGTGGCAGGTGGCACCAGGGCTGAGCCTCTGAGCATGGTGGCCACTGAGTTTCCACCGCAAGCGTCGTGAGGTGGGCTTGTTTGCCAAAGAAGTTGGAGCCGGTGGCAAAAGGAGGCACGGGCTATTTTCTTTTGAAGCTGTGACATATATATATATATATGTATGTATGTATACATATATATATATATATATATATATATGTAAGAATTTGGGTCTTCATGTCTTGGCGAGGTTCATAGTTGATACCCTCGCCGGCTTCGTGCACGCGAATGCTCCTGCCTGGACTACTGCCTGGCATCCCAAAGACACAGATGCCGCTGACCATCTCTATGAGGCCCAGAGAGAGTATCGCCTCGCTGCTTCCCTAGTCACCGTAGTCTCGCACGGTTTCGGCTTCAAGTTCTTGGTTATGTGCGAAGCCTGGAGGTGATTCTTCAAGACCGGCCTTGTTGGCTGTATTTCGACTTGGAATATTCCGTAGCGACCAATCCAGAGCTAGAGCCGGAGGTTGCAATGCGCGCCTTCGAGACGACGCTGGCGTCTTTCTGTCAAGAAGTTCTGGGCATGGACCTGGATGTCAGAAGCATGATAGTCCTGGAGTCTTCAACTCCCCAGAAATTCTCGAAGCATGTGCTTGTACAGCGCCTGCTCGACAAGGACAGCAAGCAAGTTTTCTTGGCTTTTGCGAACAACGCACAAGCCGGCTTGTTCGTGAGCGAGCTGATGAACTATGCGAGAGCCAATCGTGAAGGCAGCCCAGCACAGCACCTGTTTGTGAATGCCCCCAAGTCAGATGCACCCGATTGGCGCGAGACAACCATGATCGACGAGTCGGTTTACAGCCGCAATCGTTCCTTCCGCCTGCTCTTCCAGTCGAAGTTCGCCAAGAAACGGCGCCTGGACCTGGACGAAGCCTCGGGCAAACGCTTCTTCGAGCAATGGCGGCCGCACCCTAGCCGTGCGATGCTGGAGACCATGGTGACCTTTGTTCCACCAGGGACCGAGCTCTTCCGACACGCCCTGATTCCCGAGGGCTTCGAGCACACGGATGCAAAAGGCACCCGAGTCCAGCGCGGCAGCTCGCTGGGCTCGGTGGTCGGCCGCAGCGTCGACCAGCAAGATCCTCTCCTCAATCACTTGGTACGAGCTTGGGATCGCGAACGAGGGCGAATCGAGAAAGGGCCCTTTCTTCCAACTGCAGTCCAGTCCTGTGTCGAGATGGATCGACGGTTTTTAACAGTTACTTTGTTAAACAACCGCTTTTGCTTCTGCAAGGGATCCTCACATGTCTCAAATCATGTGTACATGGTGGTCGACCTGGAGCGGCGTTGCTTCTACCAGACACTCCTTTGCACTACTTGCAGTGTGCAGCTCATCCCCCCCTCCCCGCCTGTGCTTGGAAGCTCTTTTGACTTAGTAGGTCTACTTAGTATCCCCTACAAACCCTCTCATAATGCCCATAACCCAACCTACTAACCCTACTTACCAAAAGGCCTTCCAAGTGGTGTCCGGTTGGACCCAGGAAGTGCTTTGATCCCGACTGCCGCGGCTACGGATCACCTTTTCTGGCGATCCCTTCCTGGATCATCGAAAGCAACAAGGAGGAGATGCAATCGGCCAGTTTTTGCAAGTGACGTCAGATTCGTGACATTGAACTCAAACACAGAACTGCAAGGACGAGGAGCTTGCAACTCTACTGAACACTGCGGAGTGGGAACAGTTCGAGAAGCAAGCAGAGGTGGAAGCCCAAGAAGTGCCAGCTGCTGGCAAAGAGTGGCAAGACTTACGACTAGCCCAAGTTGTCTGTTCAGCACTGGTAGTGCCTTGAAAGGTCGAGGCTGAGAATGCTGAAGAGCCCACGCCTGCGAAGCGTAAGCGAATCTCTGAGGGAGGCGCCTGATGCGCTTGAGTGCTCAAGTGGCACGAATGGGGCGAGCCATGGTGAGCCGAAAAGGCAGCTTGTGCATTGCTTTGATTGTGACAATGCCTGCGGCGCATTTGTGGTTGTTTGTCCAGGTGTGCTCTCTGCCAGACACGGGAGACTTGTCCTTTGACTAAGTATAAGCCTAGGGCCGAGGGAGGGTGCTCATGGCTGTGCGGCCCAAGCGTTCTTAGCTGTGGCGCTCCTGCCACATACAATTCTTTGACTAAGAGATGGTATGTTCCAAGAACGTTGGCCTGGTCCTCCTGGTGTCAGTAGCGCGCGCCGCTTGTTCGCAAGCAGCCCCGGTAGCAGTTTGTTTTTTTTCTGCAACCGTGCGACGCCACAGTCCAACTCAGCACTCTAAGCATCGCTTGTCTTGCCAGCCAGTGCCTTAATGAAGGACGAGATTGACCAAGACAAACACGAACCCCGACATCCAAAACCCAAGACTTTTGCCCCGGACCTTGATTCATTGATACATTGATAAGTTTTCAGAAATTTCAGCTCAAGACTGCTGTCATTCGCTTGCACTGCCACGTCCTCTTCGAGCTTAGTGCGAACGAAATCCACAGAGTTCAGATCAACTCAAGCTAAATGAGCCTAGTCGGCGATCCAGGACAGTCCAAAGACGAGGGCAAAGCAACACATGATCAGTGAACATGAACTGACTGAATCTGGAGCGCGCTTAGTAGTGAGACTGACATACGGTGCGAAACGAGAACGAGCCAACATGAGTGGAGACTTGTGTAGAGTATCTGAAAAAACATAAACGAACTTCGATTCAGAGTTTTCAGTAGAAATCATGGCTTATCTGATTGCAACCTTGATACTGTTGTCCGAGGCTACCTCTGAGAATAGTTCTGAGTGGCCTCCAAGCGCTTTGTACTGGGATGGACAGTGCACGGCATGCCCTGCCAAGATGTATGAAGGCTCGCACTGTTCCCGAGGAGGTCTACTGGTTGGCGAGCGTTCATGCGGAGTCGGCGGCATGTACTGCGAAGGGCATTGCACTGAGCCCCTGTTGTCTGGAGCTCCTGAGCCAACATTCTATTGGGACGGCCAGTGCACCGCTTGCCCGGCGAGACTGTATGCAGACAGCCACTGCACTCAAGGCGGGATGATCGTGGAGGAGCGGGGATGTGGTCCAGCCCATGCACACTGTGAAGCGAGATGCCGGTTGCCACAGTCCACTCCCTCACCCCAGCCAGAGTTGTACTGGGATGGCGAATGCAAGGCCTGTCCAGCCAGCTTGTACAGCCACTGCTCCCAAGGTGGAACCCTGATAAATGACAGGGGCTGCGGCTTTTTGCACGTCCTTTGCGAAGGCCGGTGTGCAAAGCCCGCACCTGCACCAGAAGGAGCAGACTGGATCATAGTCGGGGGAGGTGCATCAGGTTGCACGGCGGCTGCTGCCCTGGCAGATGCTGGGGAGAACGTGCTGGTTCTGGAGCGAGGCCATTCGGACCTGGACGTGCCTGAAACAGAGTTTGTCAACACTTGGCCACAGGTTGTAAACTCCAAAGCTGCCCAGAACATCCGGTGGACTGATGGCACCTGGGGCGCCGTAGCGAACGTGTTGGGCGGCGGCACCGAGATCAATGGTGGCCTGTACATCGAAGAAGAGCCGGACTACTTCGAGGGGAACTTTGGCCAGGACTCAAGTGATCTCACGTGTAATCAGTGTAATCACCTGTGCTTGCACAGGTATGCACAAGTCTAGAGAGGCCGCTCGGAGTAATAATTTCCCATGGGCCCATGGGCAGGATTTCAACACCACTCAATTCTACCAAAGTTCGGCCTGGGTGGCTGAGCAGCTCACGGAGCCTCTGCAGCCGTCAGACTTCGGCCACCGCTTTGCTCGAGCCCTTCATGAAGCGGGAGCTGGCCCAACGGATCCGAAGCCCAGCATCCGAATGTCCTCCAACAGCTCCTGGGTAGCTCGGAGCAGTGTCATGATATGCCTGCCATCTGTGTCGTGCATTGTCGTGGTGCTGAGGCTTCCCAGGCTTTAGAATCATATTCATGTCCATAGATAATGGTTTGGGAGCTTGCATGTTGTCAATTTTCAGTGGACATGGCACAACCAAGAGAGGTCGCCTACTCTGCCTTCAACACAACAGAGCGGACCTGGTCACGTCGCGGTGCTGCTGATTTGCTTCACATGCGCTCCGCCAGCCCAAAATATCTAAAAGAAGCAGGGTAAGAATCACGCTGGTACCAACATTTTGGTATTTGCATTTCCTTTTCTTTCTGTTCCACGAGGCCTTGAGGCTGGCCTGCAGAACTCCAATTCCTCGGGCCTTCAGGAACCGTAGCCACCGCAACATTGGAAGGAAAGCACTGTAATGCGAATCTGAGCAGCGTGGAAACCTCTAAGGCGGTCCCACATGACGAATCTGCGATTCTTCACAGGCTACCAGGTTCTGAAGATCAACTTCGAGAACGATCGTGCCACTGGCGTGCAGGTGGAGAACAACTTTAAAGAAGTCGTGACCATCGGTGCGAGGAAAGGTGTTATTCTGGCCGCCGGTGCCATATTCACACCCCAGCTTCTTCAAGTGTCAGGTGTTGGAGATCCGGACTTGCTACGTGGTTTGGGCGTCTCAGAGGTTGCATCGAATCCCGATGTTGGCCAAAATTTTGTCGATCGGAACCTTCTGAACTTCGGCTCCCCGGCTGAGTCTGTGAATGCTCAGGGGCTCTCAAGTTATTGAGAGAGAGAGAGATGGCGCTTGCAAGTTGCTTGCGCGTTGCGACATTTGACAGCAATCCCAGGCGTGTGGGCATCGGAAAAGAGGCCCTTATCCGTCGGCTATGCAATCGCTTCAAACTCTACCTCCAAGATCACCTTCGAGACCGAAGGCGTGAAACGCACAAATTCGAAAAAGGGTATTCATCTCTGTTCATGTATAACAAATAAATTGAAATAAGCAACATGAAGTCACAGCGACAACAGCCCTGAGCCCTGACAGCTTGGGGAAAAGTGGCCAGTTCTTTTGCGATCGCCTCTGTCGGCTTAGTCCCTCCTGATCGGCGCACGGAAGTCTTACGGAAGACAATGACTCCTTTGTTTGATGGGCCCATTGGAGACATCATGAACAACATGTCACTTGGCACAGTCTTTGTCTGAGCCCGAACGGCGACCCGTTCCAAAATGGGTTTCAGTGCACCCGGCGGATCACTAAGTTTTAAGAAAAACGGCCATTGCCCCGCTGAGTTATGTTGAGTTCTTGATCTTTCGCTGCATCCTGCTTCCCACATGTCTCCCAGGATCCAGTTCGTGGCTCTGAATCACAACACGTTCTCACGCGGAACTGTAAACGCCGTCTCCGCAGATGCTCGGAAGCCTCCTTCCGTGACGGCAAACTACCTCAAGGCATCGGGCGGCTTGTACAGCACCTGCCAGAATGTACCATCTTTGAACCTGCCTCCTCAGGACCCTCGTGATCTTGAACAGAAGTTTACAGCCATGGCAGCGCTTCAGCAACTCATCGAATCGAAGGCAATGTCGGAGCTGGTGAACGCCAAGAGCTTCAATGGCCCGAACGCGGTGGTTCCTGCCACTTCGATGCTCGATGAGTAAATGTTTCGGTGCCCTCACCTCACGTTTGGCTGCCTTAGACTGCAAGACCAGGTTTATCTTAGCTGCATTCAGAACGGCCCGCAGACGAACGCGAAGGCAATAATCGTCCCTTGTCTTCCTGAAGCTCCAGCTTCTAGGGAGCAGTATGTGGAGTCTTGGCTCAACACCGAATCAAAACAGAAGCAGTGCACACGCGTGGCAGATGGATCGAATGACCTCGGTCGGCACCAGATTTCAGTGATTAGTGCCATGTGCCATACATGTGCTAAGGAATACTTCCACAAGACAATAGTTTCTTCGTACCACTACTTCGGCACCGCTTCCTTTGGAAAAGTGACCGGCGGCAGGGAGTTCACGGTAAAAGGCACGAGCAATGTGCATGTGTCTTGGCTGCGATGGCATCGGCTAGTTTGTTCAGATGCAACGTTGCTAAGGCTCAAATCCAGTTCAAACCCAGTTCAAACCAGACCTGCTTTTGCATACGGAGCCGGGTATTGGGAAGGTTGTGGATGCGTCCGTGTTTCCGAATCCCACGCGCCGCAGGGAAGCACTATGAATACACTTGGTGGTGGTGCAGTGGTGCCTGCGTGTGTGGATGTGTGTGGATCACTGGATCAGCGGCATGCCCCGAGGTGTAAATCCGCAGGGTACGGTCATGGCCTGCCTCCCGAGTATCGAGTTGTGCAGCGCCAGTCCTATGAAGAGCATCCCAAATGTCGGTTTCCCAAGGCAATGGGCCACTTCATCGGCACCATTCTGGCCGAGAAAGAGAGAGCCAGGCCCCTTCAAAAGCCTCTGTGTTCTTCACCTGAAGCGTCCTGAAACAGAACATGACAGGCAACTTTAGATAATTCACCGAGAAGCCGCACAAGGCAGGGCCACACAAAGTAGGCATGGACATGTCGTGTCGAGAGACAGGCAGAGACGAGCAAGGGTTTGCAGAAGATGACACAGGATGTTTTTTAGCGGCAGCGCAGGGTCTGGCGGACCAACTCCGGATTTCTACTGTACGCGATCATGTACAAAGATTCCCGATAGGATGCTCTAAGCGAGCAAAGTTTGTACAGGCAGGTCAGGGCAACAGTTCCTCTGACTCTTCCCCCACGCTTGCTTTGAGCTGTACAGCGGCAGTTCTGTGACGCCTTGTGGCAACGGTGATGCAACGGTGCACATGCAGAGGTCTAAAACTGCAGATCGGACGGCAGTTGTAGAAGAGTAGCAGATGGCAGCGCAACACGTAGCGGTGCGAAGCTGGAGATGTGCCTTCTGGAGATCTGCCCGAGGCGTGGGCTTGGAGGCAAGCTCGGACAGAAGCTCCTGGGCGCCTTGAGACTGGAACCTGAGGTGCACAGTTTGGTGGACATGCTAATGGGGGTTTCCGATAATAGGGGTACCCTTTTGGGGTCGCTTTCATTGGGGCTCTATTCTATTTGGGGTCTAAACGGGGTACCCCTTATTTTGGGAGATACCCCTCTGGACATCGGTCTGTGCTGGGTGTTCACATGGCAGTGGCAGGCTCCGAGTGCTGAGCTTCAGAAGGCCTTGACGGGGGGGCTTAGTGGGTGGAGGGGGCGAGCGTCCATGATCCAAAAGAGCACTCCGTTAGGACGATCAGTCCCGCCATGTGTTGAATGTGTTCTACTTGTGTTCACTACTCACCGCACACACGATATCGGGCACTTGGCCTCACGTGCAAAATGAGCGAATCCATGCTCCACAGTGAGGGGCCCTAGCATAGCTCAGCTCGCAGGTTTCACTTCCGGAGCTTCAACGTCTTCTTGGTGAACAGCCACTCCGGCATGTTGCGGCATGTTGCGGCATGTTGCTCTCGCCGACTGGTCCGGACAAGCGACCCGCCAGGTCGGCTGCCTTTGTCCATCGCCTATGTCGAGGCGGAGACAGCGACGAAGTCCGAGCTGGAGAGATGAAGAGGACTGCGACATCTCCCACTGCTTCTGAAAATTGCTTCCAACAGAGGCTCCCATGTCGATTCAGCGCTGCAGCATTTCAGCCAGCAAGCTTTCTACTCATATACTCATATCATGCCAGGAAGCAATATCTGAGCTTCAAGTCGCTCTCGCCCGCTGTCGAGAGTTTTGCTGACCTGCTTAACAACAGTTAAAGGTCTCAAGGAGGGCACCTACTTGGGATCGCGTCATGTTTGTCAACACCCCATGCCACTAGCATCTTCGAATTAAGTTGAATTGCGCGCGCCTGGTTGAACTCCAGTTGCCGGGTATGTGCTTGGAAGTTGAAGGCTTCGACCTGAAGGGGTGTTTAGTTGGTCCTGCTCATTTTGTAGCTTCTGGCAATCTTCCCAGAGCATGCGTCACTCATTGGGGCTGCTGGTGCCTCAGGGGAAATCATCTCACCTAACTCACCCGGCATTACGACTTCCAATAGTGTCGGAGATCTTCTGCACGAGAGCTTACATTCAGCTCAGCAGTGAGCAAAGAGTGCCGCATACATGCTTCAACGTTGTGCTTGGCACACCACGACACTGACAGTTGCACATTGGATGCATCCTGCCATACGGCATCATACAGCACTAGCCAATACCAGTACGCTGCCTCGTTGAAGCAACCCGTGCACAACGTGCCATGAGTGGCCAGCGAACTCCGCTGGGACGATCAACGACTGTGCTCTGGCGTGGGCCCTCTTTGTCCAATCATGCAACAGAGACTGCCGAAAGCGTTCTTCTACTTCTCGCGCCCAAGGCCATGACGTTATGCCATGGTTTGCCACACATGCATTGAAATTTCCCACCTTCGATCCTGTGTGTGACAGGCCATGCAATCACAGGAGGTTCGACTTCGACTAAGCCAAGAGGAGGTGCAAACGGCAGCTGACCTGCTGGAGCTTGACAAGGTTGATTGGGTCAAAATGAGCGATGCACCCCTCTGTGCATTGCGATTTCATTATGTGAACCAATCTTGCCAGGAGGATCTGAAAGATTTGGGACTTAACATGGTTGAGCGGAGACGCGTGCTCCGCTGGGCCTTCAGTCCATCTCCGACTTTCGGCTTGCAAATCTCTCTGCTGCGCATGCTGGAACTCTCGGCCCACTGTCACCTCTGCAGGATTCAAGTATGTACCCCTAGTACCCCGTGGCTGCCCTATGACTTGTTGGCAAGGATTGATTTTCTGGAGAGTCTACAGAATACGAACGGGGTGCAGAGCGCTGAAGGCTGGACCCGACGTGCGCTGCAGCCTTTCAAGTCGCATGGTCATGAGCACGAATCAAGAGACCTTCTGGTGATGACAAGCGTGGAAGACAAAAGTGGCACCTGTCAGAGCTTCAAGATTTTTTGTGATCCGCAACTTGTAAGAGCCATTTCCGATGGCCCCGGCCAATGAACAAATGGTTGGTTTTCGGGATCTTTGAGGTTACGGAATGGCACATCCTAAAGCCGAATGAAGGTCAGGCGGCGGAAGGAGTCCAGGAAAACGCCACAGATCCAAACCATTTTTTGAATCTTTTTGAGCTGTCAAGCATGCATCTCGAATTTGAAGCACTTCATTCCTACTAAGAAACAGCAAGTACATGGAGAAATCTGAGAGTCCTAGTCTGAAAAATCCGACAAGGGCGTCCGCTGCAAGCTGTGGAGAAGGCTCCGGAATGGGTTGCTAAAGGGTTTATGAGTTTAGGGTTGAGGGTTTACTGCGCCATGCTTCAGTATGCAGCAGCATGGCAGTGCTTTAACATTTGCAGGCCATCAGCGATCTGGACATGTGGTTCGCGCTTGCTGATGCAACCTCATTTCCAGCAGCAGTCCTACTGCAGAGCACGATGCGTGGTTTCAAGTCCTGAAGCAAGCAAATGTTGTACATCATTGCTTGCCGAGGTTAACATCCGTCAACTGAAGGAGTCCTTCAAAGATGACGCTCACAGGTTCCGACATTCGGAAGGCGACGCAGGAAGACCTCCAATGGCCGACTACGACGTGAAAGACTTCAGCATGCATGCTCGCAGCATCAGTAGCTTGGCTGCTTTTGACATGACATCCATGGCGCGACATTGCTTTTATGTGTTGTGAGCTTTCCTTAAGACAGCGAAGACTATAAGCCCTAGAGAGCACAGGGGAGAACATGCTGGATGAGCACTTTGACTTGACCTCGGAACGGATCCAGGAGCATCTTGCCAGAAACTTGTCGGCGCATGCCATCGCACTCCGTGCCTTCAACAACGCGGTGCTCACTGTACACGATACGAGACCTACTGCATGCATTTGTAGGCGTTTCCCTGTGGTGCGACGTTTGAGGATCTTTCTGCGAGTCTCCAACGACCGCGAGATTTGCACACCTGAGGAGCTGCTCGAAGGCCTTGGTCTGACGGAGCACTAGACACGCTAGGCTGTCGTTCACATGGTCTTGCAGATTCTTGCAGTATGCGGCTCTTGTGGCCTTTTTGCAGAGCTCGAGCCTTGAAAGGCTTGTCCAAGATCGGTATCACATGCCGAGATGTCACGTGTCTGGCCGCACCATTTCGCCTCGTGATGGGCCAAAGCAGCGAAAGAGGCCCCCTGGCGCAAGTGCAAGAAGATACAGAGAGCGCCTCAGAGTTTCATTGGTTCGGTCGCAGTGATGTCGACGACAGGCTTGCAGCCAATGGAACTGGATGTTATCCTTTCCAGACTGAAATTGGCACAACTGCTGGGGCGTGGAGAAGGCTTCCAGCAATACAGAAGCCTCCCAGCAGCAGGATGGTATGTTCCCTGTATGATTCAGGCAGTGTCAGTGGGAGTGTTCCCCCTGGCCGCTTCACGCTGGTGGACTACAACATGCACAAAGCTGCAGTGCAGGCTGGCCCCTCGCCCCACTTCCCACGATCGTTTTGCATCATCGCTTTGCATCACATGACGCAGGATCTCACTGGTGAGAGGCTGCTCAGATACTTCTTCGGTCATCGAGCTCAAAGTGAGCCATCTGACAACATTCACCGCTGGATCCACATGAGGGGTTGTCACCTCATTTTGCTGATGGCCCTGATGGTCAAGTATCGACTTTCACCACTTGGTGTGGAGGATATTATTGAGCAAGGTGCCTGTTCAGCGAAACATTGGGATGGTTGGTGATGCAAAGCTGCCACTGCTGCGCAACTTTTTTTCACGTAGCAGCCAATGTCGCATGTCAGGCCCCACGAAGGTGGGGGAGCATGGCAACAACATCTTTGTGACGCTGGACTGGTTGCAAGTCGACTCTTCAGCGTGGCGTCAGGAGGGATGCGACGGATCTAGCCCCGTCCAGATCAGCTGCTCGTACCTCACACTGATCATCTCCGCGCCACATCGAGCCGACACCTTGAGTCTCGGCGAGGTCCGCACGATGCCCTGACACAGAAAGCATGATTAGCTTTGTTAGTTGCATCATGCCATCTTAGTGCAAGCACTATGAAACCCGCAGCATGCAGAAAGCCAAGGATTTCTGTGGTGCAGCCCAACCGCCTATTTGAGCAGGCGAAGCTGTCTCACCTCGCAGCAGCTGCAGCGCCAACAAGAAAGTTAGCTCAATTCAGCATTCCCTTGTGCATGGCATAGTGCTTGAAGGACTGGCCGGGCGCAGAGAATTCCAAGACAGCTTTCAATGATGCATGGTCGGAGACCCTCATGGACCGATTGAAGCATCCTGTCAGCATCCCAGACGGCGGCAAGGAGGGCGGGTGGGTGGGGGGGGGGGGGGGGGGGGGGGGGGGGGGGGGGGGGGGGGGCAGGTGATGAGGGTTAAGAGTGAGACAGCGATTGTTCTTGCTGTCGCGTGTAAAACTCCGGCTGACTCCGGCTTCAAGCACCATTCTTTTGGACTGCTCTGCTGAGCATTGTTTATCCATGTCGTGTTTCCTTGAAACTGTTAAACTGCTATGTGCTTTGCGCGACCTAAACTTTCAATCAGCCTCGGTCGAAAGCAAAGTGCGGCGCGCGTGTGTGTGTGTGTGTGTGTGTGTGTGTGTGTGTGTGTCTGTGTGTCTGTGTGTCTGTGTGTCTGTGTGTCTGTGTGTCTGTGTGTCTGTGTGTCTGTGTGTCTGTGTGTCTGTGTGTCTGTGTGTCTGTGTGTCTGTGTGTCTGTGTGTCTGTGTGTCTGTGTGTCTGTGTGTCTGTGTGTCTGTGTGTCTGTGTGTCTGTGTGTCTGTGTGTCTGGTGTCTGTGTGTCTGTGTGTCTGTGTGTCTGTGTGTCTGTGTGTCTGTGTGTCTGTGTGTCTGTGTGTGTGCGTGCGTGCGTGCGTGCGTGCGTGCGTGCGTGCGTGCGTGGGTGGGTGGGTGGGTGGGTGGGTGTGTGTGTGTGTGTGTGTGTCCCTGTGTGGAGTTCCTTCAAAGAAAGGCAGGTAATCTCGACGGACCATTGCACCAACTGCCATGCGAGTATGTTATTCGCGAATGATCTCCGAAGCCGACCACTTAAAGTCGCCTGTGGTGTGTCACAGCATGCCACAGCCCAATAGCCGCATAAGGCCCACATAGGCCCACATAGGCCCACCTGCGCATTCCATTTGCCGACCCTCACCTCTGCCTGTGCCCGCTCTTGTCCTGAGGAGGTTATCATCCAGACTGGCGGAGCATGATGTCAGGTATCTGGCCCAACATGTTGTGCAGCTTCTTGGTTGCTTCTGAGTTTGTGTGAGGCTGGACTGCCACTGTAGCTCTTGAATCGGACAGCTGGGTCTTGAGGCTGTGCGTGGACGATCTGCTGTCGGTAGTCCGAGCTTTTGCCGTCACTTTCCTATATTACCATGCAGTTTGTGAGTTTTTGTCTTCCGCTGTTTTGGAAAGCCATCATGCTTCCCGAGCATAGAAGCTGAATAGCCTCTGGTTGCCAGTGGGTCGTTTAGGCATCCGTGATCCCTCTGAACCTCAAACATGATTCTGCTAGACCCAAGGCACGCCTGGACAGGCTTGAGGAGGATTTAAACCCCAATCCCAGCACAGCGTCTGTGGGATCATCTGTTTGGGCAGCCGGTAGCCGGCTGCCGCCAGCGACCTGGCTGGCAGAGGCCGGTTTGATGAAGCGATGTGGGCTGCGCAGCTTTGGGTCTTCATGTCATGGGTTTTTGTTACCCTGCATTGGCTTTCCCTGCTGTTTGTGCCAGGTATCCCTCATCCGACTCCAGCTGGCTGTGGTTTGCCGGCGCTTGCGCAATCATCGGCTGATGCTTCGCAGACTGATGGAGAGAGTGGCTGAGGCTGGCGTAGACAGGAGGCACCATGCCTACACCAGCACGTTCTGGCAGAAGTTCCAGCCGAGAGCAGTTTTTTTGCGATTTACTTCCGGTGCAGCGGAAGGCTGGCGGGGTACTTGCGGGACATTGCTGACGATGTTGAAGTTTCGTTGGAAGACTCGGGGCACTTGATTGACAGGCCAGGAAGCGTGCTCCCTCAACAAGAGAGGGAAAGAAGGAGAAAGAGAGAGAGAGGGTCTTGCTGCCAGCGTCGCTGCAGACCGAACAGAACACCGAACGGAACAGTGGGGGGGGGGGGGGGGGAGAGGGGCACAACTCGCACAGGGCGTTCGGGCCCTAAGCCCTATGATCAAAGAACGACCATGTTTATGGGCGCGCATGGTGCACTCGGGGGAGGAGTGGCTTTTTCGTTTGGATTCCACCATGCCAACCATCAAGCACCTGCTTGGCTTGCTGGATTTATCCCTGAAACCAAACCTTGCACCTTTTGGCAAATGACAGCGTCTCTGGCAATGACCTTCAACTTGGGTCCATGGCAGAGGTGTGGCGCTTTAGCCTCTTCATATGACACCATCGTCAACAGGGAGGCGGATGCCCAAAGACGGCAGTCCAAGGACCCCAAACTCCGAAGATTCGTTGGCTCGTGTTCATGGGCTCCCCTCTTGGCATTAGTCTCCCTTAGTCTCCCTTTTGGCTCAGGATGCCCTAATGCGGGAGCAGGAAGAGCAGAACCGCCACGCAGAGCGGCTGAATGACACACTCTTCGTCTTGACATTTGCTACAACACTTTTTGCACCTGTGCAATTTCTGGCGGGCTCTCTCCTCAGATGCAGTCATGTACAGAAAAGAAATCAGGGATTTGCGTTTCCCTTTCTATGCTCGGGAAGCTTAGATGATCAACCGAGGTGTGTATGGCATGAACTTTGCCGTCGACGGCGATCCCACCATTCCGGAACTCAAGTGGGAGTACGGCCTATTGCCTAAGTCTTTCGCCGACAGCCTCCGTCGGCGTCTGCCCATTTTGCCTGCACGAACCCATGCCCAACCTGCAACTAGCTGGATCCAAGTAATGCGAGCTGCGTGGACAGCTTTGCTTTGCTTTGCTTATTTAGGAAAAGGTGGAATGTTCATACTTCGTGTGCCATGACTCAAGGCTATTTGTACTTTTGGATCCTGGTGATTGTTTATCTCATCGGCAGCAGCGTGCTGGCGGCTGGAGTTTTCCGACGGCTAAGGCTCATTGGGGTGAGGGCACGGCAGTAGGGCGGCCATCCCTGTCAAATTGCAGACCTTTTTTGTAGCAAGGATTCAGCAGAAGAGCGCTCTTCTGCCGAGGACCGACATTGTACTTCATTGTGCAGTGCACTCATTGAAATGAGGCCATGGCACATGCGTGGAAGCATGGTCTTTCCTGGCAGGACTCGGTACAGCAGCTCATGGACAGACGAAGTGACGGGACAGCAAGCAATGAAAGTTCGTGCTTTACACTTCCAGCTTCTGTAGATCACTCCCGGTATGGTTCATTGCACGCTGCCAGTGCAGCTGGCATGGCAACGCAGTTGAAGCTGTCATCGAAAGCTGCAACAGAGAAGGGCTGAGAGCATGCCAAGAAAGCCCAGAATCTTGAATAGAAGAACCCTGGAGCCAAACTCATGTAGCTGAATCCTCTCTGATTAGCATGCATCGTCAGAAAGAAAACATCTGCACTGAGCAGTTAACTCACATAGACAGGCATATGTCATGTGTTCGGGCTACGAACAACTACGGGCGTACCTCTAGGTTTTCCGTGAGCAAAAAGCCTTCAGATGTTGTTTCCTATACATCGGTAGTGAAGCTGGGGTTTACGCACTCCCCCAAAACAGGCTCTGCCTGTTTTCTCCTTCACTATGCAAAAGAGATGCCTTCAGCATCTGTGTCTGATTTCCGTACCCTCACGTACGCTGTACCTTTCCGCAAGAAATTCACGCCTCTTCGGCTGATTAAAATCGTGGGTCTCATCCCACGAGGCTCAAGGCTTTCGGCATTCATCATGGTATGAAAGGACTGTTGGAAAACACAACGTCACTTGTGCCAGATCCACTCTAACATAGGTGACTGCTCATACCAGAGAACCATACTGCTTGCTCACACGGATCTTAACTGGAAATCGGTCCTATCTTTCCAGTTTGCAAATGCGCGGGATGGTCTGATGAAAGGCTGATGGCCAACCTCCCCACGCCGGCATGAGTGGCCAAACAGACCGAGGCGGTCCTTGGATTGGCCATGACTAGTGTACTCGCACGTCCTCCACAGCCTGTTGTTCCAAGTCTATCCTTGAGATTCTCGGAGCTTCTGATTCTCCCACGCCAGTGTAACCTAGAGCTTGCGCTTCTCTCACGCCAGTGAACTCTGGAGCTTGCGCTTCTCGCACGCCAGTGAACTCTGAAGCTTGCGGTAGCCCAGCTGAAGATCGATCTCGCACACCCGGCTCTAAACCATCCACACTCCGTGGTACAAACCCCGAAACACTTCGTCTAACATCCCGAGGCCGCTCATCTTCAGCAGTTTCTTCAACCGCTGGCCAATCATCAGAATCATCAGTTCTCATGGCCCTCACCTGCTGATTCGGTTCCTCGGACCTTTCTGCAAACTGACACCAACGCTGCAATAGCAAAACGGCCAAAATCACCAGCATCCCAGCCAACGCCGCAAGTCTCACTGACTCATCATGGTTTGCCTCTTCATCTGTGTTCATCTCCCATTTTGAGGCCGCATTCGTCAACGCAACTCCAATCACCAACAATCGCAAGCTCACCATGGCCAACAGGTCTACCCGAATTCCGCTACTACCGAGAGAGCCATCACGGCTGTTGCCACTCACGACGTGACAACGTTCTAGTTTGACCTCCCCCCCGGCAGATCCTGACGGCACATCCATGACAAGCAGCTGCACAAGCTCATTGTGCCTAGGAGGATGCAAGGCCTTTGTTGCTATGTCAGCAAGCATCCATCGTCCGGCCAGATGCCGTAACTCAAAAAATCCTTCTTCTAACAATTCGCGTCCTCCCCGAGCTTTTAAGCGCAGATGACGAGTGCGCCACGTGCCGCTTGGTGCCGAATACAGACTAACAGATCCCATCGAATCGCTATAAAGCAACTTTCGGACTGGTCCGGGGCAGATCTCCCGCACTAACGCTTCTAAAGTTTGAATGTACAGGATCCCATCACTGGTTGAGTACATTTCTGCTTCGGCTGAGGACTGCGAGGTAACAGACTGTCTGTGCGAGGCCCAACCTATGATGCATCCGCTCAGTGACGCAACAATCCCGGTTTGAGATTTGGAGTTGTTGGGGGCGAAGCTGGCATCGCTGTAGACTTCAATCAGACCTGGGCTTCGAGGAGCCGCCAGCTCACCCGACATCCCATAATCCGACGCCCCAGTAAGTGGCTCATACTTAAGCCCCAGTTCTGCGGTACGACGCAAATACTTGATGATGTTCTGGGCATACCGGGTAGCGTACTCAGGAAAACGTGCCATAAGCTGCGCAGTTTTATTCACACTAAACGCTATGTCAGGGCGAGTGCGAGTGGTAACCCACTGCAACGCCCCTGCTAGCATTTGAGCCTCCTTCAATTGCTTTGGGTTGGGTGCTTCAGGTTCTGGAGTTTCATCCCTAAGACATGGCACCTCCGCAGTTCCTTGAACGTCCGGGAAACGGTTTAGCAAGTCACGGATGTAATCCTGTTGGTTCAGCAAGTACCCTCCGGAAGGCAACTTATGCAAATTGAACCCGCAGAAACGAATAGGCTTGCCGACCTCTGCTGATTCCGGATCGGATGTAGCCCACAGCCGCTGGATCTCAGATATCAATCTCTGCTGCACCGACTCCTCCATGGTCAGCAACAAATCGTCGACGTAGACCCCTAGAAGTCCATGCAGCCTTTCTCCTTCTTGATCCGCTTCACTGCTGGAGGAAATCACCCGCCATAGATTTGGCTCTGCAACGGTTTGTGACAAACGGAAATCTCGACCTCCATCACTCCACTGTAGGCTGCGCAACGCCAGATCGCGATGTGAAGACCAACAACGCGGTGCCTGCTGTAGGCCGTACAAGGCTTTTATTACAAGCCAACGTTCCGATTCTTCTACTAGGTTCAACTTCACAAGGATCTTGGGCGGGGTTACTACTACGATCTTCACACGCTGACCCTGAACATGTTTCAGTTTTCCAACCAACCGCTCGAAGTCCAACGCGCCCGAGCCAACATCACCAGGAGTCAAGACTGCATGCCCTTGACCATCCTGATACAAAGGAGCGTCCAAGAAGGCTGTCTTAATATCCAAGCCGGCGTTGTGCCATTTATTGATGGCAGCAACACAGGCCTGAATTCTCACGCTCGTCCCGTCCACGCCTCCTGCGTATAGATCCTGAGAGCGCACGGTTCCCTTTGCAACATCCTCCGACGGTGAATCCGACTGCAAGAAGTTGCCGCATCCGACAATTCTAGCACGAAGCCGGTTTGTAATCGGCTTCTGAGTGTAAACACCTTTTGCCGGTATCAGCGACACCTCAGCAAGTTCCTCAAGACGTTTCAACTCTTCAGGGCCGATCGCGTACACAGCCCTGTGAACATCCTTCAGCGCCACAACTTCATCAGTAAGAGGTTGACGCCACCGCTCCAAATCCTGCCACACTTCAGCCTGCGGAACAATCCTTGTTTGAAGCAACACGCCTGGTGGAGAATGGGCTCCCTTTGCTTTCATCTCCTGAGTATCCTGACCAAAATCAGGATGCAACTCCTGGGGCTGCTCCCCCGCAAGTAGGTCATTGCCCCGCTCTCCAGCTGACGCCTCAACAAGGTCCGCACCACTTGTCCGCACTGCCCTGACGCATGGCAAGCCTGTGTTCTCCAGCTCCTGCCACGCTTCTTCAAGCTCACGCTCAACCGACTTCAAGCGATGCAACGCAAAGGAACCACGCTCAAGCTCAACCGCACGCTCACAACAATCATGATCTTGGAACAACATAGCAACCCGCAAGTCTTCATGCAGTTCCGACAACAAGCCCGGCGTCACACACGACAGACCACCTTCAATTTCCTCACACATGGCCTTCTTCTCCTCACGCGTCAACTGCGTTAAACGATCAACAAACTCTTCATGATTCGGCTCCCCACAGCCTTGCCACTCCCCCGCAAAGGAGTCATCCTCCGAATCGCTGCTAATATCAAATCGCTGTGGATCACGGCCGAACTGACTCGCGGCAGCTTTCACACGCACCTCCTCCTTGACAATGCCTCCCAAAGGAAATCCCAAGTCCTTCAACATATTGATGTCCCTGTTTTTTGCCAAATGCAAACTTCTAGGTGTGTACCCTACCACCACGATTCTGTCCTGCGAAGACGACTCAACAGCATGTAAGACACTGGGATCAAACCACACAGCGTGCTCATCTCCCCCTACATATCTACCCTGGTGATTACCCCAAGCAGCGATTCCGGAACGAGGCCCAAGACCCGAACCTAGCTCAGCTGAGGAGTCGGAAACCCAGAGTCTACCCCCTTCGAACCGACTGATGGGCACGAGGAAGTTCTTACTCCCTTTCATGTTTCTGTCCTTATGCGGAGACGCACTCATACCCCACGTAACCCGAAGTGCAGACCACGACCCATGCGGATCTAGTGATTTGAGATACGAGTTGATGACCCTCACGACGTTTGGCATCCACGAGGTGCGATTTGTGAGTCCTACCTTGTTTCCGTACACATAAAAACCCAATGTCCACCCTCTGGCGCCCGATGACCGAGCAACGATATCAATAGCCCTGCCCTTCGCCTGGAAGTCATGCATAGCACGTCGAAGGATATCCTCAATCTCGTAGCGCTGCGGTACACAATCGCGTGCTAGAAGATACATGCCATACCTTTCGGCTTGTTCAACGTTCCACCATTCCAGCTTTAGCAATGATTCAGCTTCTTCTTTCGTACATACCCCTATCATCTCACTGGCTGGCGGCTTTCCACCTTGCGTACGAAGAGATCTTTCGATTGGCCCACCGCAGTTCCCCAAAAATCCTCCTGAGCCCTGTCCAGCCTCAACATCCCCATCACTTTCAGCGCGAGCGGACTTCCCGGACCTCCCAGGGACCTCAACGCACGCAGGCCCTTCGGACCTTTCAGGAACCTCTTCGGACCTCCCAGGGACCTCATCGCGAGCAGACCCTTCGAACCTCCCAGGGACCTCAACGCGGGCAGACCCTTGGGACCTCCCAGGGACCTCAACGCGAGCAGACCCCTCGGACCTCCCAGGGACCTCAACGCGAGCAGACCCCTCGGACCTCCCATGAACCTCAACGCGAGCAGACTCAACGCGAGCAGCCCCCTCGGAAGACCTCCCAGGGACCTCAACGCGAGCAGACCCCTCGGAAGACTCCCCCCGTGGCTCCACGCCACGCGCATCCATCGCCACT